TTGTTTAGTTCTTCTGTGTCTTTGTCAAGTTTCTTTCTGGTTGTTCTATCCATTTTTGAAAGTGATGTATTAAAATCACCCACTATTATTGTAGATTCATGTATTTCTTTCTTCAGATCCATTAGAGTTTGCTTTATATATTTTGGAGCTCTTTCATTGAGAGCATAGATATTTATTATGGTTATTTCATCTTGTTCAGTTGTCCCTTTAATCATGACATAATGTCCATCTATATCTATTATGCTGTTTTTTGCCTTAAAGTTTATCTTATCGGAGATTAGTATTGCCACTCCTGTTCATTTTTTATTGCAATTAGCTTAGTGTTTTTTTTCCATCCTGTGACTTTTAATCTGTTTTTGTCTCTGTGTGTGAGATGTGTCTCTTTGCAGACAGCATATTGAAGGATCTTGTTTTTTTATCCATTCTGCCACCCTCCGTCTCTTAACAGGTGCATTTAATCCATTCAGTGTAATTATTGATAGGTATTGATTAATTGCTGCCATTATGGTTTTTTTTTTTTTGTGGTATTGCTGCTTCTTTGTTCTCTGTGTCTTCCTTTGTTGAGTAAATGCTTTTTGTGTTCTTTCTTGTGAGTTTCCTCATAGTTTTAATGTTTCCATGTTCTTCTTGGATTTTCATTCTCTTGGTAAGTTGTGACGTGTTAAGTTTCTTTGAGGTTGCCTTATAGTCCATTAACTTTTCTCTCCATTTAGTGTAGTCTATTTTATGCTGTAATCAACCTGACCTTCTCACCATCTGGATCTCTGTTCCTACATGTTTACCTTCTTTTACATTGTACTTGTTTTAATCATAGATTGACCTCCCAGATTCTCTGAGTTTGTTCTTATAGTTTTGTTCTGTTCTCGACTTCCTTCTGTCGACTTAATTCTGGGAGATGCTGCCATGTATGTCAATCTCTGGTTGTTGTCTGTTCTTGTTGATTCTCAGTCCACAGAACTCCCTTTAGGATATTTTGTAGTGCAGGGTTGGCTTTGGCAAAAATCCCTTAGCTTCTGTTTATTCTGGAATGTTTTGATTACACCATCATATTTGATTGATAGCTTTGCTGGATAAAGGATTCTTGGTTGGCACAGAGAGAGCATTCTAGAAAGGTGATTCCATGGGCGTGTTTGGAGAGCCGTCCTATGTCTGATAGTCCTTGTTGAGAGCACTCTTCCCTTCAGCTAACAGAAAGCCCTTCTCCAGAGTGAAGTTCTATCTCCTTCCCCCAGGACGACAGGGAGAGCTTGTTATATAGGGGTGGGGTGTGAAAATGCCTCGAGAAGATACAAGGGGGCTTCAAAAAGGTCATGAAATAATTTTGTTATCTTTTAATTCCATTTTTCCAGAACTTTTTGAAGCCCACTCATATATTATTACCAGAAGATTTGTTTATATAATAGTATTTCCAAGATGCACCTGACCCAAAACCCTAAAAATTAAATCCAATGCTGTCAAGTCAATTCTAACTCATAGTGGCCTTATGTTGTTGTTGTTAAGTGCCGTCGAGTCGGTTCTGACCCATAGCGACCCTGTATAGGATTTCCAAGGAGCAGCTGGTGAGCTTGAACCGCCGATCTTGCAATTCAAATGGCTTTGCAGTCTGACACATTAGCCCACAGCGCCAGTGGCCCTATGTTGTTGTTAAGTGCTGTCGAGTCGATTCTGACCCATAGTGACCCTGTATAGGGTTTCCCTGTAGGACAGGGAAAATTTTTTCACAGGGTTTTTAAGACTGTAAACATTTTTATGGGAGTAGACTCCTCATCTTTTTTCTGTATAGCAGCTAGTGCGTTTGAACCACCAACCTTGCAATTCGCAGTGCAACACATGACCCGCTGCACTACCTGGGCTCCTTTGCCTGGCCTAAGTCGTAGTATTTTCAGTCACCTGATAGGCATGTGAAAGCTGGACAATGAAGAAGGAGAATTGATGCCTTTGTTTTACACGTTGGCCAAGACTTGAATATACCATAGCTCCCAGAAGGACAACCGATCTGTCACGGAAGAAATAGAGCCAGATTGCTATTGGCTAACAGCAGACAAGGATGGTCAGACTGGGTCTCTCATACTTCGGGCATGCTATCAGGAGGGATTAGTTGCTGGACAAGGACATCATGCTTGGTAAAGTGGAAGGACAGCAGAAACTCACAGCACCCGTGAGGGTGGAGCCTGAAGAGGCAGTGTTGCGTTGGTGCTGCACGTAGCGTCTCTACCAGGAGGAACTAGTCAGGTGGCGCAGACACCATCCTCCTCTGTGTTCTGACCCTCTTCAGTCTGACCTCACTTCCTCCTCCTCCTTAGCTGCATTAACATCCACGACAACTCAGTGAGCTAATCGGGTTCAGCATCACTACCTGTTGTATAGAAAAGTAAGTGAAGACGTGGAGAATTTCAGTGAGCTGCCCAACGTTAGCAGAGGCAACAAGAAAACCCAGGCGCTTTGGTTCCCAGCTCAGTGCTTTCTGTGCCCAAGGTGGTACTGCTCACATCCAGACTCAGCAGCCTCCAGCTCACCTAGTGTTGGTGGCCTTCTGGGTGGGTGCTCCCGGGCTCTTCTGAGTCCCTGAGACCACGTGGTCTTGGGAGCTGGCAGGCACTGTCTTTGGTCTAGGATCCTTGTATGTTGTGGTGGGTGCCTGCTGTGTGCTTACTGATCATGAGCTGATAGGAAATTGCCTCTCTACTGTTGGTTCGCTTTTTAGGAACGTCTTTGTTGTATTTTAAAGTATTCCTTTCCAATTGGGTCTTTCCATTTTAAAAAGCAGTTTCTGGAGTTAATGAGTCCCGGGGAACAGCTGAACCTCAGTCCTGACTGATGTTGGGCCCCATGGGGCATTGCTTTGTCTGTCCCCCTCCCGCACACCCGCCCTACTGGCCTGAGGTGGTGCTTCAGTCCCCAAAGTGAGTGAAATGGTCACAGCCAGCAGCTCCAAGCCCTTGGAGAACAGGACATGGGCACCTCCTCCCCAGGTTGACTGCGTTTTCTCTTCCCTTCCTGTTCAATGGACTGCCCTTCCCCAGCACTTCACTCTGAGGGTTTGAGGTGAGACACATGGACCTCTATTCGATTGTAATGATTGGGGTGACGATGAATCTGAAAACCTCAATTGACAAAGTAACAGCCGCTCGACAGCACCAAGAAATCCTTCCGTCCTGCTTCTGGCATGTTTCTAGGACAGAGTTGGTTTCTGGTGCAGTATAGCCGTGGGTCTTGTGGCTCTGAGGGCATTTTTGTGGTTTATGGTCTTTGGTTGCAGGCAGAGGCCAGCAGTCGGTCGTCCTCACGCGGCCCAGTGCTTCCTGAAGCAGACCAGCAGATTCTACGGGATCTGATGAGTGATGCAATGGAGGAGATGGACGTGCCACACACTGCGGCGTCCTCAAAGCCCGAGGCCAACGGTAAGACACACCAGGCTCCATCGTCGCACTCCTGCAAAGGTGTTTACGACTCGGTCAGCTTGTGTTTGGGTGTATTTCAGGTCAGTAACAGTACCCAGGGTGGTGTGGACGGAGGCGGTGGGGGACAAGCCTTCTGGTGGCTGGTAGATAGGCTGAGGCTCGTCCACAGAGTGGTTGGTAAAGGAGAAAACTCTAGAATGCAGTTGAGACACGATGGACTGCTGTCGAGAAGATGGGCGGATAATTAGACTGGACTTCCTCATGAGATGAGTTGGGTTTGAATCACTGGACCTGGGTGTGGAGAGCAGAGAAAGAACGTGGCCTTTATCCCTGAAGGCACAGACGAAGCCGCGCTCCAGCCCCACTACCTAGGTTAGAGCCGTGCCAGTCCTGGGACCGAGCTCTCTCTTTCTAGACAAGCATCACACAGCAACATAGGAGACACATCGAGGGACCAGGTGCTGTGAGGTCCTTGAAAACCAAGCAAGAGAATCTAAATGTCTAAACCTTCTGTTTTTAAAAAAATTCATATATGTTTTTCTAATGGATGAATAGTTATTTTTGTATGTTATGAAATCCTATTTTTCGTTCATGGCAATATAAAAATGTACATTTTAATTTAGACTGCCTTAGAACTAAGGAAACAAATTGAAACTTTTAGCATCATATGGACTACATTATCTGTCATCAATATTAGCTAGTTTCATTACATGGGAAAGAATATTTAATGATTCGATTGAGTCCTGAAAGTTTTGCTCCATCCACATCATTAGGGTCAACTCCGCTTTGAGGAGGCAGCTTTTCCACATCCTGTTTGGAGTGCCTTCCAACCCGAGGGGCTCATCTTCCGGAACTATAGCAGACAGGGTTCCACGGTTATTCATAAAATTTTCAGTGGCTCGTTTTTCAGACGTGAGCTGCCTCTTCCTTCTTCCTAGACTGTCTTAGTCTGGAGGCTCCACTGAAACCTATTCATTTGTGAGTGACCCTGGACAATGAATACGGAAGAGCAGAGAAGAATTGAGGTGTTAGCAATGAATATTGGTTGTACCATGGACTGCAAGAGTGACCACATGTGTCTCAGGAGAAGTCCAGCCAGGATGCTCCTTAGACATGCGGATGGTGAGACTTTGTCACCCATCCTTCGGACATACTGTTGAGAAGGACCAGTCCCTGGAGAAGGACAGGATGTGTGGTAAAGTGGAGGGTCAGTGAGAAAGAGGCAGCCCCCCCTCCAGGAAAAGGCCCGACTGAGTGGCGGCAGTTGTATGGTGGCTGCAGGAGCAGCCAGTGTTGCAGCCTGTCGGATGTGGGGTCTCTGTGAGCAGGGACTGGCGTGGCAGCACGCAGCAACAGCCATATCTGAGTAGTTGAAGTGGACAGGAAACTGTACTGAACACTGGACATGTATAAGGGTGAGGGAGACCCGGGTGCTGCTGCTGGTTCGGGCTCATAGCAACTCTGTGTAGGGTTTCCAGGGAGCAGTTGGTGGTTTTGAACTGCCGACCTTATAGTCAGCCCAGTGCTTATCCTACAGTGCCACATCGGGACTCCCAGGTGCTGCCATAGAAGAGTTTAAAATCTAGTCTGTGCACCTCTTGAGGCCAAAGTGCTCATTTGATCGTCTTCGTGTTCTCAGCCAACATCACAGCGTTTGGTTTGAGAGAACAGTTAATGCATGTTCACACCTAGCTCTGGAGCTCGTGAACCGCATGGTGAGACCCAGGCCTGTATGTGTGCTTTCTCCCTGCTCCTAGGTGCCCATCCCCTGGTGTGTGGTCCCTGAGGACCCTCGGCTAAAGCTACCGCTCAGTCCTCAGCAGCTCCTGCTCCGGTGATGGACAGGCTGTACCTTCCACTGGGCTCTGCGAGAACTCGAGGCTGCTGCCGGCTTTTTGATGAGTAGCTTTTGCTGAGGAGTTTGGGGCCCGTTACTTAGCTCTTTCTACGGGTCACTTTTCACAGCGTCGCTGTCAGAAATCAGAGGGACACTGCACGATGGCGTCTGACACGCGGTGTCATTGTTGATGTCCCAGCACATGCCCAAACCAAATATTTATCACCCTTCCACCTAGGTGTACTGGATGACAGGTCTCAAACCCAGGAGCCATGCTGTTCGGACCTGTTCCTGTTTCCAGACGAGAGTGGGAATGTGTCCCGGGAGCCTGGTGCTGTCTATGCCACCTTCCCGCCCCACTGGATCAGCGATGCGATGACAGGAGCGCCCCCGGAGAATGACGACTTCTGCATTCTTTTTGCACCAAAAGCAGCGATCCAGGTGATTATCAGTGGATAGCATCTTGGGGTCTAAGACAGCAAACAGAGTAGAGGGAAGATTCTTAGGGTCTGTCATTCAGATGGGCTGCATTGGGTCACTGATGCTGGGCTCAGGCATCTCTCAGAGGATCTGTGCCTGCCGGACTCCCACACCGGTGACTGAGCTCTAGGTGTGGAGCTGGCTGAGGCCGTGTCATACATAGGTGCTTGTCTGTGAACCGGAAAAGGTGGGACCCGAGGTGGTGTTTGTGTGAAGGTTGGTGATTGGCAGAGAATTCTTCCTTTCTTTTTCTTAATGACTCTGCAGTAAATTAGTCAGTGATGGTACTTATTTACTAAGTTCTGGAAACCAGCTTGATGAATTTTTTAAAAATCAAAGCATTCAAACTCAGGTTAACATGGTGATTTGGTCAGTATGTTAAATATGTCAAGGTTCAGTGTGGGACACAGTATTGACTTTAAATCCAACCACAGGCTCTCTATAAGGGGCCCTGGTCGCATTGGGCTGCTGGCTACAGGGTGAGCAGTTCAAACCCACCAGCCACTCTGCAAGAGCTAAAGGAGGCTTCCTGTTCCCACAGATTTACAGCCTCGGAAACCCTGCGTAGGGCCGCTAGGAGTCAGAATTGGTGGTGGTGGTAGATACGTGTGCAACACTCCAACACAGCCGTACACACTGAGCTGCGTCTCCTTGTTGTCTAAGGGTGTAAACGTCAAACGATAGACTGACAGGCTGGTGGAGCACCTTACGTCGAGCGTATACAGAGCTCATGCTGTGTTAAAGGAGACGTGTCTGTGCTGCTGAGTCAGGGGTCTTATCTGTTGAAATCATGGAAGGAACAGACTCAAGAGATCCCCCTGAGGCTTGCACCCTACTCTGTGGTCTCCAGTGAAACCCGAGGGTCTCTCTCTCTCTCTCTCTCTCTCTCTCAGGAAAAGGAGGGAGAACCTGTTGTCAGGATCATGGCTGGTGACCCGATTGTGATCAGAGACAATCACTTCAGTCTGCCCGTGAAGAAGGGCGACCCGAGCAAAAGCCCACCACACTTCCCCATCCCTGTCATCCGGTACGTGGTCAAGGAGGTCTCGCTCGTGTGGCACCTCTATGGAGGAAAGGATCTGGGGGCAGCCCCTCCCTCATCTCCAGCGAAAAGTTACATGTAAGTCCATTTCTGTGTCCGTCTGTTCGACTGCCCAGTGTATTCTTTTTACAGAGAAACACAGAAGTTATCCTTTTATGAATGACTGACAACCTAGTGTTAGAAGCCATGTTATTCTTGAAGCTTCATTTGTACGTTCGTATTCGTTGTTTGTGTTTTTACTCTGAGGATGACTGGTGTGGTTTCCATGCAGCGGAAATGTGCCAGAGCTATATTAGGGGCATCCTCACCAAGACAGAAGAGGAGACCTTTGCCCTCAGTTCAGAGGCCAGAGGGTGTCATGTGAGCAGATGAGGGCAGTGAAGTGCAGCGTGTGCCCTGCCTCCAGCTCCTATCAGCTTGCCCCGCACGACTCGGGCACCCAGCAGTGCTAGGAGAAACTGAGGTAGAGAGAATGGGGAGAAACCCAACCCAAAGCACTGCCATGGAGTCAGTCCCCTTCATGGTGACCCTGGAGGACGGACGGGGCAGAATTTCCCCTAGAGTGTCCGAGTCTAAGTCTCTACAGAAGGAGATTACCTCATCTTTCTCCTGCAGAGTGGCTGCTGGTCCAAACCGCCAACCCTGGGTTAGTAGTCCAATGCTTAACTCATTATACCATCAGGTATCCTCAAGAACAGATGGGGTGGGCAAGCATTCCTAGGAACACCAAGGAGAAAGCAGTAAGTACGCTGTTATACTGAAAGATTTGCAGCTAAGGTCACGAAACAAAGTGTGTACGATTTGTTGAATGGAAAACAAAATTTCTCTGTAAACTTTCACCCAAACCACAGTTAAAGACACAATTCTTAGTAGAGTGCATGTGACCAGACCAGGCCCATGGGGCAGTAATATTTGGCACTATGGTTAACAAGTTTTTTCTATTTAAAACATGATTTGGAAAAAGCCTTAGAATTGACTATAATTATCTTCTCTATAACGAGGTTTCCCAGGCTTGACCTTCATACTAAAAGCATTCCTGAACTAACGGCGCATTACCACAGACTAGTAAGGGTTTCAGTCCTCAGCTTGTAGCTGCAGAACCGCAGGCTTTGTCTCTTCCTTCCCATGGCCTTCCTGTAAGGACACCGGTCATGGATTGTGCTGTTATAGTTAAGTGCCATCGAGTCAATCCCGACTCATAGAGACCCTAGTTAGGGATTAGTAAGGCCTCCCTAATCCGATAAGCACGGGACTGCTAACAGCAAGGTCAGCGGTTCAAACCCACGAGTCATTCTTGGAAACCCGATACAGGGTTATTGAGTCAGAAGCAACCAAATGACAGCCCACAACTATCCATTGTGAAGAGGACCCTGATGGTGGCAAGGTTTAAAAGCTCTGCTGCTAACAGAAAGGTCAGGGGTTCAAACCCAACGGCTGCTCCGCGGGAGAAAGCTGTAGCAGTCTGCTTTCGTAAAGTCTACAGCCTTGGAGACTCTTAGGCACAGCTCTACTCTGTCTAAGGGTCGCTATGGGTCAGAATCTCCTAATACTGCCTCTGAAGTTTCATCCAGTTTGCCCAGTGCCCTAAGTCAGTGTGCGCTCCCATCTGTCAGTCTGTGAGGGGCTGGCTGTGGGGTATTGCGTGTTGCTGTGAGGCCGGAAGTTCTGACACCAGTATTGGATATACCCAGCAGCTAAGCTAGGTTTTAGCTTCCAGACTGAGACAGACTCTGAAGAACTGTCTCGTAATCTATTTCAAAAATCAGTCATTGGTAACCATGTGGATCACAGCAGTGCTGGCAGAAGTCCCCTAGGCTGGAATCCACTGATCATACAGTGGCTGTGACAATGTGGCAGAAGTCCCCTAGGTGGTGGCTCTTGTTAGGTGCCGTCCTGTTGGTACCGACTCATAACGACTTCTGCACAACAGAATGAAACCCTGCCCGGTCCTGCCCCAACCTCACAATCGTTGCTACGCTTGAGCCCATTACTGCTGCCACTGTGCCAATCCATCTCATTGGGGGTCTTCCTCTTTTTCACTGACAACCTACTTCACCAAGTATGATGGCCCCTCCTGATAACATGTCCAAAGTATGAGAGACCAAGTCTGGCCATCCTGGCTTCTAAGGAGCATTCTGACTGTACTTCTTCCAACACAGATTTGTTTGTTCTTTTGGCTCCATGGTGCTTTTAACATTATCCTCAAATGTATCAATTCTTCTATGGTCTCCCTTATCCATTGTCCAATATTCACATGTATGTGAGGTTATTGAAAATACCATGGATTGGATCAGGCGCACCTTAGTCCTCAAACTGACATCTTTGGTTTTGAACAAACCAAGTTTTAAGAGGTCTTGTGCAGCAGATCTGCCCAATGTGAAACGTCATTTGATTTTGTGACTGCTGCTTCCATGAGTGTTGATATTTGGTCCTTGCAAAATGAAGTCTTAGACAATTTCAATCTCTTCTTCATTTGCCATCATGTTATTTATTGGTCCAGTGGTGAAGATTTTTATTTCCTTTAAAGTGCCAATCTATACTGAAACTGTGGTCTTTGATCTCCATCAGTATTTTAAGTCCTGTTTTCTTTCAGTAAACAAGGTTGTATCATTGGCATATCACAGGTTGTAAATGACTCTTCCTCCAATCCTGATGCCATGTTCTTCATATAATCCAACTTCTCAGATTATTTACTCAGCATACAGATTGGATTAGAAGGATGCCAAAAATACAACCCTGGCACACATCTTTCTTAATTTTAAACCATTTGGTATTCCCTTATTTTGTTCAAACAACTGCCCCTTGGTCTATGTACAGGTTCCTCATGAGCACAATCAAGTGTTCTGGAATAGTCATTCTCCTCAATGTTGTCCATAGCTTGTCATAATCTACACAATTGAAAGCCTTTGTGTAGTCAATAAAGCACATTTAAACATCTTTCTGGTGTTCTCTGCTTTCAGCCAAGATCCATCTGACATCAGCAGTGATATCCCTCATTTCATGTCCTTGTCAGAATCGGGCCTGAACCTCTGGCAGTTCTTTGTCAATGTACTGTTGCAGCCGTTTTTGAGTTACCTTTAGCAAAATTTACTTGCATATAATATTAATGATATTGTCCGATGATTTCCACATTCCGATGATTTCCACTCTCTTTGGAATGGGCACTGATACGGTCGTCTAAATTTCTTGGCATAGATAAGTGAGTGCCTCCAGTGCCACATAAGTTTGTTGAAAGATTTCGATTCCAGGAACCCCGTTCTTTGCCAGTGCCTTCAGTGCACCTTGGACTTCTTGTTTCAGTATCATTGGCTCATGATCATATGCTACCTCCTGAAATTGTTGAACATCAGCCATTTCTTTTTGGTACAGTGACTCACATGTTCCTTTCATCTTCTTTTGATGCTTTCTGCATCGTTCAGTATTTTGCCGATAGAATCCTTCACTATTGGAAATTGAGGCTTGAATTTGTTCTTCAGCTTGAGAAACGCTGAGTGTGATTTCTAACTCCAGGTCTTTGCACATTTCATTATAATATTTGACTTTGTCTTTTATAGCGATAGCTGACCTTTGAAAATTTCTATTCAACTGTTTTTACCTCCTTATTTCTTCCATTTGCTTTAGCATCTCTATGCTGGAGAACAAGTTTCAGAGTCTCTTCTGACATCCATTTTGGTCTGTTCCTTCTTTCTTGTCTTAATGACCTTTTGCCTTCTTCCTATATGATGTTCTTTATATCTTCCCACAACTCTTCGTTCATTGGTCATTAGTGTCTAATTCATCAAATCAGTTCTTGAGATGATCTCTAAACTTGGGTGAGATATGTTCATATTTTGAGTCTTGTGGACTTGTTGTAATTTTCTTTAACTTCAGCCTAACCTTGCATACAAGTACTTGATGATCTATTCCAGTCTGCCCCGGCCTTGTTTTAACTGATAATATTGGAGATTTTCTACTGTGTTTTTCCACAGATGTCATCAACTTGATTTCCCTGTATTCCGTGTTTCTGATGAGGTCCATCTGTACTGTAGTTGTCTTTTGTGTTGTTTAAAAAAGGTATCTGAAATGAAGAAGTCATTGGTCTTGCAAAACTCTAGTATGCGATCTCAACACTGTCTCTATCACCGAGGCCATGTTTATGAACGACTGATCCTCCCTGTTTGTTTCCAACCTTGGCATTCCAGTCACCAGTAATTATCAACACATCTTGACTGCATGTTTGATCAAGTTCTGACTGCAGAAGTTGGTAGAATTCTCCAATTTCATCCTCACTGGCTTTTGTGGTTGGTGTGTAAATTGGAATAGTAGTGGCATTAATCTGTCTTCCTTGTAGGTGTATATATATTCTGCTCCCGTAAAGATTTACAGCCTTGGAAACCCTGTAAAGGGTCGCTATGAGTCGGAACTGACTCCACAGGCACATAACAACAACAACAACAACCACAGACAACGTTGTACTTCAAGACATATATAACTGTTTTTTTGATGATGAATGTGATGCCATTCCTCTTCGATTTGTCATTCCCAGCATAGTAAACCATTTGTCAGATTCAAAATGACCAACACCGGTCCATTTCAGCTCACTAATGCTTAGGATATTGATGTTTATGTGCTCCATTTCATTTTTCACAACTTCCAATATTCCTAGATTCATTCTTCGTACATTGCACATTCTGATTATTAATGGATGTTTACAGTTGTTTCTCCTCATTGCGAGTTGTGCTCCAGCAGCAGATGAATGTTGAATGTCTCTAAAGCTTTACTCCATTGTCAACATCAAAGTCAGTTCTACTTGGAGGAGTTTTGAGTGTTTTCCAACCTGAGGGTCTTGTCTTCTGGCGCTGTATCTGACAGTATTCTGGTGCTCTTCATCATGTTTCAGTTTTCAGTATTCTGGTGCTATCTGACAGTGTTCCACTGCTATTCCTAACTAAGGTTTTCAGTGCCTAAATATTCAGAAGCAGTCTGTCTCTCCTTCTTCCTAGTCTGTCTTATTCTGGAAGCTCAGCTGAAACCAGTCCACCATGAGTGACCCTTCTGGTAATTTAAAAAAAAGTGGTATATCTTGCAGTTTCAGGAGGCTCCTAAATATGCAGTGACTTTAACAGTGTAGCAGGTGTCTCTAGGAAGGAACTACTGAGGGTTACACCATGACTGTAACAATGTAGCAGATGTCCCTAGGTAGGAAATACTATAAGTTCATGATGAATCTGGCACGGGACAGGCCGCCATTTACTTCTGTACTTGGGCCACCACGAGTCAGAGAGGACTTGACAATTTACTGCCATAGTCCACAACTGACCCGTCCCCTCTACTACCCTAGGAAGCCCCTGGATTCATATTAAGTCCCATTCTAAGGTCCTCCGGTGGCCATGAGCTCCCGGGGGCCTGGTCATATCAGGACAGGCGGTCTCCCTTGGGAGTGTGTTCTGTGACGTGGCCTCAGAGACAGCAGCCGTCTTAGGCAGTTCTGCAGCCGTGAGCAGCGAGCATGCAGGTGCCAATGATACACTGTCTAGACTCCAGGTCTCTGAAGTACAGGCTTTGGAGGTGTGGTCTCTGGGAATGAGACTGGGACACCATTCTGATTGTTCCTTTTTCCGGGAATCATTTCCTGGCTCCCGTGGAAGATCCCTTTGTAACAAAAGGGATTTCTGTTGTTTTGTGTTCACTTGCAGTGGTCCCCACCGTTCACCCTCTCACACCCCCACCAGACACGGGCGGCACGCGGGCTGTGGGGGGAAAGGAAGAAACCACGACTTTTTGATGGAGATACAGTTAACCAAGGTGAGTGCTTCTGGGGAAGGAAGGGGTGGGGGGTGGGGGGCGTTCTTCAAAGCCCCACCATCAGGTCTTGAGCCTCCGGATAGAAAAAGTACAAGCATCTTGTAGGAAACATGGACCTTTCATTGTCAAGATTTTGAGAAGACTGAGGTTTGTTTTGTTCGGGTTAACCTCAGAGGTGAAGGAGTATTGAAAGCACCTAAGGGGCGTGCCAAGCTCAGACTCCAGGGCCCACCCCGAGCTTCAGACTGAGTGGGACCCGAGAGCCTGTCTAATGTGCTCCCAGGTGATGCCGATGCTGTTGTCCCAGGGACAGTGGACTGTTGTCCTCGAGGCCTGCTTTGGAGGAGTGGACGGGGCAGGTCTTCTGGGAACGTCTAGCGGTCCTCAGGCCAGGCCAGCCCTCACAGTGTCTGTACTCACCCTGTCATCCTTCCCGGGATTGTACCCTGTGTTGCCTCTGAGGGCGCTTAGGGTGAGAATGTGCTAGCGATTCCAATTCCATATGCAGAGGGGCTGCAGAAAGTTGGTGGGGAAATCCCAGTATCTGTTCACCCCATTTGTCCACAATCTTTTGAAAGCTGCCTCGCGTTAACGGTACAGCTGCCCCCTTTGGGAACTTGCACTGTGCCCATGTTCGTTCATCTGTAGTAGAGTCATTTTATGTCTGATTTCGCCATGAGAACTTTGCCACTGGAGGGTAGAGACTTCACTGAGGCCAACTCAGAAATGTCAGTCACACGTGTCCTTGTCCCCATCAGGGGATCAAAGCCCAGCAGGCTCTGTTTTCCGTTCTCTGAAAGTGGGACTTGAAAGCAGCTGTAGAATTCAGGGAAAACAGGGTGACGCTGAGCAGATCAAGAACGTCGTGTCGGGCGTAAGCCTGTGTAACTAACGCTGACTCCGTGTTCCCCCATGCCCGTGCAGGTGAAGTTCCAGCATGACGTGTACCCCCCGAGCCGGCCAGAACACGACTCCGGCCTCATGGAGCAGCCAGTCTCCCGGCAGGTGTTCATCGTGCAGGACCTGGAGGTGCGCGACCGGCTGACATCATCGCAGATGAACAAGTTCCTCTATCTGTACTGCAGCCAAGAAATGCCTCGCAAAGCTCACTCCAACATGGTGAGGAGACGCGGGGAGCGTTGGTGGAGTGTTGGCTCACTTTAACCTGGAGACCCTGCCGGCACCCTGACACCAGAGTGGGATGCACACTGGTCACGTGGGGTTCCGGTGTGTGCCCCTGACCAGTCTAGTGAGAGTGGAGGACCCGTTCAGGCATGGGAGGCCAGGCCTGCAGGGGGGAGGAGACGACAGGCCCCAGTACCGCTGGGAAGCTGGCTTTCTATTCCTTGTCCCGTAGCTGACGATTAAAGCTCTCCACGTGCGCCCCGAGTCTGGCAGGTCGCCTCAGGAGTGCTGCCTGCGGGTGTCGTTGATGCCACTCCGTCTCAACATCGACCAGGTGGGTGTGTGGCTAGACATGTCTCCCGCCTTCCAAATGAGAGGCTTAAATTAGGAGAAGTATAGCGCTGCTTCCTGTGGAACGTTCTGGAAGGTGGTGCGCTAAAGCATACTTGTGCCGCTCAAGGACGAGTGCATTGACATGGAGCCTGGACTGTGGTTAGGAAACATCATTACATGGTTTCCCTCAGTCTCTGACTCATTGTCTACCTGACAGAGAACGGAATACCGCTTTCTCTCTCTCTCTCTCATCCTGCCACGTTGTTGTTGTTAAGTGCCCTTGAGTCAGTTTTGACTCATAGCAACCTTGCACAGGATTTCTGAGGAGTGGTTAGTGAGTTTGAACCGCCAACCTTGTGGTTAGCAGGCCAGTGCATACCTGACAGTACCACCCCAGGAGTCCCGATCCTGCCATGCATACAGGTGTACACAGGTTTCGGAGAGGATGGAAGGACTCCAAGGTTTGTTGAGAAAATTGGGGGGTGTCTTAATTGTGGCATCCAGAAGAGAGTCCTTTCTGCCCTGGGCAAATGAGCAGTTAGTCTGTGGTACCTACGAGGTCTGTCACACACAGACAGGTCTGTTAAACATGGGAAAGCCTGAGAGAGCCATTTTCCTATATTCTTGCAAGTGTCCAAATTTTCCTGAGTTTTGCTTTGACCCAGAGCACTGCTTAAGAAAGCATGGTGTTAGGTGCTGTCAAATCAGTTCCACCCAAACTGAGCTGGTGAGCAGGAGGAGAGCCTGCGGGCCCCACACCCTCCTCACAGTAGTTCCTGTGTTAGGGTCCTATGGTGCAGCCGCTGTCAGCCCATCCCACTGAGGGGCTTCCGTATTCGTCATCCAGCTGCCATATGCATAGAGGCCATTGGAAAGCCCATGGCTTGGGTCAAGCACACCTTAGTTCCTGCAGGGGCATCCTCATTTTTTAACACCTGAAAGATGCCTTTTGCAGCATATTGGCCCAATGCAATGTGTAAATAAATGCAAATATAAGGCATAGGTGGCACCTCTCCCAGGAACATTCAAGTCTTCAAGATAAGTGAAGAGCTAATGCTCTGGAGCCGGGCTAGGGTCTGGATGCTCTAGGGCTGCGTAGTGTGGGGAAGACCGTGGTGTGGGGTAGGGTCTGGATGCTTTGGGGCCATGTAGTGGGGAAGACCGTGGTGTGGGGTAGGGTCTGGATGCTCTGGGGCCACGTAGTGTGGGGAAGACTGTGGTGTGGGGTAGGGTCTGGATGCTCTGGGGCCGCGTAGTGTGGGGAAGACTGGTGTGGGGTAGGGTCTGGGTTCAAGTCTCTGTTCTCTAGCACAGGATGAGGGACTGGAAGGTTCCAAGCCTCAGTTCCCCCCAGTGATGAAGCAGAGTCATGTGCACATCGTAGAGGGTTTCACTGTCATTGGTTCTGAAGAGGACTGACTGAGGGTCTGAAGCGTCCTGCATGGTGCCTGGCAGGCTGTTACGGCTTCAGGACTGCTAACTGCTGTTGTGATTAGCTAAGAGCCCACCTGGGCTTGTCTCCTGGCTGCCCCTGCAGTGAGCTAGCCCTCTAGCTCTCTCTCCATGGGCGTGGCTGAGGTACAAGTGTTCACTGAGTGGGACCTACTATGCCTCTGCTTTGTTCGGTGCTGATTCATTATGCAAAGAAATCGTAGGTTAATTTAGGTAACCCATGGAAAGGATTTCAGGAATACCTTCAAATCACGTTGATGTAAACAAAACAGAGGTGCTCTCAGAAAAAGCGGGTGGTGGCACACTGAGGTCAGCATCGCCTTAAGCTGCTGGTTGTGGCTTCTGAGCTGAGTCAGTGTTCGATCCTAACGCTGCTATTTACACACTTGTTAGTGTGGCCCCTGTAAATACCCTTCTCTAGGGTCTGGAAATGGGGACTGTATGAAATTTGTCATACAGACCAAATTTTTGATAAAAGTTTTAATTGACTATATTAAGGTATAATGTACATATAATAAAATGCACAAACTATTAAGTTTACAGTGTGACTTTTGACAGAGTCATATAGTAAGGTAACTACTACCCAACTTAAAACATAAAATATTTTCTTTCCCCCAGAAAGTCCCATGTCCCTTTGCAGTTGGTCCCTGCCCCCTAGAGCTCCCACCGATCTTGTGTCTGTCACCAAGGGTCAGTGGCTCCTGCCTGCAGCATGCTGTCTTACCTCCTTTGTTCACAGCTGCATCTGTGAAGTCCAGTGTGTGGGCAGGCCGTGGGTTTCTCCTGCTGAGTGCGGTTCCGTCATGTGGGCATTTAACAGTGCCTTTGTGTGTGTATGTGTGTGTGTGTTCCGTCGTGTGGGTGTATTAAAGTGCCTCTGTGTGTGTATGTGTGTGTGTGTTCCGTCATGTGGGTGTATTAAAGTGCCTGTGTGTGTGTATGTGTGTGTGTGTTCCATCGTGTGGGTGTATTAAAGTGCCTGTGTGTGTGTGTGTTCCGTCGTGTGGGTGTATTAAAGTGCCTGTGTGTGTGTGTGTGTGTGTGTGTGTTCCGTCGTGTGGGTGTATTAAAGTGCCTGTGTGTGTGTGTATATATATGTGTGTGTGTAATTCACTTGCTGGTTGACATTTGCGTCCTTTCTTGCTTTACTGCAAATGAATGCACTGCTGTGAAGTTTGAGTGCACACCTTTCTATGGATCTTTTCTCCGCTCCTGGGTGCTCGTGCGCTTAACTGACTGCCTGAGCCGCTGCCACAGCGTTTCCGCATGGCTGCGGGTCCGCCACTCTCACCAGCAGTGCCACATGGAGTGTACCACACAGCAGCTGTCTTGTGTTCTTTATGTTGCAGTTCAGACATCCCTGATGGCTAGGGAAGGAAGCTCCAGGGACACAGTAGGTTAAGTGATGGGCTTCTGTTTGCAAGGTTGGCGGTTCAAACTCACCAGCTACTTTGCAGGGAAAGGATGAGGCCATCTGCTCCCATAAATGAGCCTCAGAAACCCCATGAGCAGTTTTCCTCTGTCCTACAGGGTCACTGCGAGTGGGATGGGCTCCACAGTAGTAGGTGGGTGGCTGGTGGCGCTGGGCACCTTTCCATGGACTCATTAGTCATTTGTATTTCTTCACATCTTGCTAGTCTCAAAATGGGGCCGTTGGTTTTACTAAATTGTAAGAGTTTATCTTGAATACCACATCAAACATTTTTTAAAACGTCATCAAAAGCTAGTGATGAGCAGCCCTTTGCTGTTCTGTGATGGAATCTGGGTTAAAACCACTGTGACTTTTGTCGTCTTAAGAGCAGAGCACCCAAAATTTTGTCTTCTGAAGACAGTCAGCAAGTCGAGAAATTTATAGCATTTAAAATATCACCACCTAGTGGCCAAAGAATAACATTCGAAACCCTCCAATTAGTTAGCATCTGGTAGCGTAGTGGTTACGAATCGGGCTGTGAACCTCAAGGTCAGCAGTTCAAAGCTACCAGCAGTTCCGTGGGAGAAAGATGAGGTGTTCTGCTCCTGTAAAGATTTACAGCTTCGGAAACCCTGTGCAGGGTCGCTATGAGTCAGAACCAACTCCACGGCACATACCAATAACAACATATGGTATGTATAAAATCCCACGGGCTTGTTAGGAATCCAACATTGACTTCACGGTACCTAGTAACAGCAGCATTACCACAGTACTCTGTGTGATGTGTAAAGCGTATTGCAACCAACAACTCATGCACCTACTTCTCCCTTCAGAACCAGAGTGCCCCCAATACCGTGGAGATGGCAGCGCTCTCTGCTTCAGTCTCACCCATTAGCCGTCCTCCCTGGGCCCCGGAGCACCTGAGACGTCTGAGAAACAGGGTGCAGACTTGAGCAGGCCAACTTTGCTGTACCACCAAATATCAGGGCTCTCTAATTCACTCCAAAAATATCCAAGGGAACTTCGAAAAGTTTGTGGAAAGATTCCATTATCTTTTCATTCCATTTTTCCAGAACTTTTTGTAACCACCTCATATTTTGGTATAGCATTAATGGTTTATGTTAATTTAGGAGCTTTTAAGATGAAAGGGGGAAATGAGAAGAGCAGGTTCAGTGGATTTAATTGTTACATCATCCAGAATAGAATGAGTTGATTTACACGACATCAGGACACAGCCATCCACGTTCACTGGCAGATCCAGAGCTTTCGACAAGGCCACCCTGAGTGAGGGCTTTTATTGCTTCTCCATCTGTATTTTGATACCGTGCTCAGTGGAGAACATGTATTGTAAGTCATCATCAGAAAGTGGCCAGCCCAGAAATTAGATGTTAGGGGCTGTTACGGGACTGCCTTCCACCTAGTAACAGTCAGGGAAAGCTTGCTGCCGCGGTTCTCGCTCCTGGTAATGTAGTGCTAGTAACGGCAGAAGAGCGCCCATGAAATAAGAATGAGAGCTCTGTTTTCCTCAGGAAACTAAAAGATGCCCAGAGATGTCTGCTAGTTTTGCAATCGAGCAGTTTAACTCCTACGTCTTCATTTTCACATCTATAAAATTGATTTCCTCACGGAAATGAGAATTAGTGGGGAAATGGGTGTGTGGGCACATGCACATGCTTGTCTAGGCACAGTGCCTGGTACCAAGCTAGAACTCAAAAATGGCAGCTGATTAGGAATGACAAGTAAATTAGGGGACTGTAAATATGGCTACAATTGGCTATAATGACATTTCTTAATTTTAGGACGCCCTGTTCTTCCTGAAGGATTTTTTCACAAGTCTTTCTACAGAGGTAGAGCTTTTAACGACCCCAGACCCAGAAGGTATTATACTTGTATAGTTTGAAAAAGATGAATACTTAGATTGATTTTGATTGTTATAAAGCACATTGTTTGTGAATGTACCTACAGTATTTATTGCTGCTTATATAAATGTGTTCTGTGTTTATTTGGGTTGATACAAATACAGTTTATCCAAAAGTAAGCATTTCAAAGGTAAAATAAAATGTTCTGTCACCGTCCCTGCCTTCTTCAGTGAAGAATGGCAGTCAGTTGGGTCTAGCTTAGCCTGTCCTCCTGCTCTCCAGAAGCACACCTAACCTATCAAATGCACTCGCTCCCTCGCAGTTAAAAAGTCTCCAGGTGCCGATGTTACCTGCACTCTGCCAAGACACCTAAGCACCTCGAAGGAGCCAGATCTCGTTCTTTCTTTCCCTGGGCCAACACTGTCTTCCCAAAATGACTGTGCCAATCCGGAGGAAGTGAAGAATGGGGATGAAGGACAGGCTTTCTCAGCCGAAGAAGTCGCATTTGATGATCAGCCTGTGTTTTTTAGGTAAATAATACTGTTCTGACAGCAAACAATGTGCTGGCACCTTTGTGGAGATGGCCCTTTTACGTGTGCACACTGGTCACTAGGAGCTGTGTCAGCGTTTCTTGGCTCTGCTGAGGAAGCACCTAGTGTGTTCATTTTGTTTCGTCCCAGATCCAGGGCATTCTCCAAGTCATGGTAGACTGGCAGCCCCTCCCTGCCCCACAGGCATGCGTTTGTTTCACAAACTTCAGAGAGCACTTCCTGTCCATGTGCCAGCCAGGAAAGCAGAGAAAAGTCCCTGCTTAATTGAGCTTATAAATGATGGCGGTGGTGTGGAGCTAGGCCAGTGCCCGTCCTTGCCTCTTTTTGACTTGGTGGCAATGATGCATTGTTTGGTTTCATCTTTAAGGGTTTGGATACAGGCATCACAGCAGTTGTGAAGATGGCACTGAACCGGGCAGTGTTTCCTTTTGTTGTACGTAGAGTCGGTTTGAGTCGGAGCTGATGCGACGGCACCTAACAAGAAACAACAGTTAATTGCTAATATTTACCAAAATAAGTCTTTCTAAGAGACACATTGTTTAATGAAGTAGAGAAATATTCTTGTGAGAAAGTTTAAATAGAGTAAGTTAAGTACCTCTGTTTAACCTAAAAGATGTTCACGTTTACTCAGGCCATATTGTCCTCAATTCTTTTTGGTTTCCTTTTTATTCTCTAATTGAATAAACGTACTTGCATCTGATTTCTCCCCTGAGTCATTTTGAGTATCAACAGAACCCCTCTTTGTTCCTTTCAGAGAATTCAGGTTCACATCAGAAGTTCCTATTCGTCTGGATTATCACGGAAAGCACGTCTCCATGGATCAGGTTGGAATCTTGGCATAAATAGACTCGACACAATTACTGGTCTTGCTTGTCTGTTTTATGTCCCAACTTTTAAATTTTTTCTTCTGTCACCACTTATATAAATGTTTGAAGGGAAATGCGTTTGACCCTTGAGCAAAGTGGGTGTAAACTGCCCAAGTCCACTTGTAACATGCATTGTTTTCAATACATAAATAGGAAGATTTTTTGAGATTTGTAACAATTTGAAAAACCTCACAAACCGCATAGCCTAGAAATAATGAAGAAAGAAAATAATGTCATAAACGCATGAAATAAGCGTGCACTTTGTTATCATTCACTGCCTTAAAATGCACTCAAGTCTATTTCATAAAGTTAGTTACTGAAACTTCGCACACAGATAACTTGCTGTAGTGCCATTTCAAAGAATGCATCATTGCCAAGAGAAAAAGAAACTCCGCACCTACGCTAAGTGCACACGGCTGCCTCTAGCGTGCTGTGCGCTGTGCCCGCTCAGTGGCCACCCTCAGCGGCCAGTGCGGTGAGCTCAGGTGTTTCACGTACCTGCTGAAAATGCCGCGGGACACAGAGCTCTGCAGTATGTTGCGCATCGCTTTGAAACGTGGTCTCTGGTATGTTTCCTCATGTTTGGGGCAGCATCGTAAATGGAGAAAAGCGCCCTAGGACTGACCCGCCTATACAAGGCGCCAAGGGTGCTTACCGGCAATGCTCAGGAAGCAGAGCAAAGTCATGACATGACAGGTAAAAATGGATCTAACATAAGGACCCTGTCAGAGAAAAAAAGGAAATTCCTGAAGCCAATGTTGCCACTGCGCCAAGCCAGAAAGCTGAACACACTGCCATGGAGTGGGTCCCGAGTCTCAGCTACCCTGTAGAACAGAGTATAACTGCGTGCCTGGGCACGTGACCTACGCAGCACATGTCCATCCTATTGTGAGGCTTCCTGTGCTCAGTGAGCTGTTCGCCATTAACTCCGGGGAAGTCAAAGGTTACACACAATTTTCAATGCCCCTAACCACCATATTTTTCAAGGGCCAACTATACAGGGACTTTCAGCTTAATTGGATTTAAAAGTAAGGTGCTTATCATCTACCTAATTGTTCTTGTTGTTGTTAGGTGCCATCGAGTCGGTACTGACTCATAGAGACCCTATGCACAGCAGAACGAAACACTGCCCAATCCTGGGCCAGCCTCACAATTGTTGCCACACTTGAGCCCATTGATGCTGCCACTTGGCCAATCCATCTTGCTGAGGGTCTTCCTCTTTTTCTCTGACCCTCCACCTTAACAAACATGATATCCTTCTCTAGTGACTGTTCCCTCCTAACAATATGTCCGAAGTATGAGAGACAAAGTTTGGCCATCCTGGTTTCCAAGGGACACTCTGGCTGCACTTCTTCCAACACGGATCTGTTGGTTCTGTTGGCAGTCCATGGCACTTTCAATATTCTCCTCCAACATTATAACTCAAAAGCATCAATTCTTCTACGGTCTTCCTTATTCACTGTCCAGCTTTCGCATGAATATGAGGTTACTGAAAATACCATGGCTTGGGTCAGGCACACTTTAGTCCTCAAGCTGACATCTTTGCTCTGAAACACTTCAAAAAGGTCTTGTGCAGCAGATTTGCCTAATGATGTACCTAATTATCATGAGTAAAATGATATATAAATTGGGTTTCTGTAAAGAAAATATTTTACATGTTTTCATCTCACCAAGGCATACAACAATACCTGTTATAAATGCTGGGTCTGTCTAATTCTCACACCAGTCTGGCCGTTTTGTTCCCTAGGGCACGTTAGCTGGCATCCTGATTGGGCTGGCCCAGTTAAACTGCTCGGAACTGAAGCTGAAGAGACTTTTCTACCGCCATGGGTAAGCGGGTGGGTTACGTGAGGCTTTAAGGTGAAGCTACTGCAGATTAAAAGGAGCTCTGGTAGCGTAGTGGTTACTTAAGGGTACAAACCTTAAGGTCAGCAGTTCGAAGCTACCAGCCGCTCCGTGGGAGAAAGAGGAGGCTTTCTGCTCCCGTAAAATTTACAGCCTCAGAAACCCTGTATAGGGTCCATATGGGTCGGAACCAACTCGACGGCACTTAACAACAACAACTGCAGATTAAGGACGGGGTTTTCCCAGCAAGCTTTGGTAGGCCTGTTGTTTTACAGTGTTGCACCTCAGGCTCTCAGTCTAGGGGTCCTCACCGGTCAAGGTCTCCTGAGGGAGTAGAAAGGGTGTGAGCTGGGGGGCATTCTTCAAAGACGGCTGTAGTTTAGGATATCGCTCATAATTTCAGGGTTGTAGCTTGCTTAGTGAAAAGGCTGGCAGTTTACAAGGTGGCAAGCAGTTCTTGGTAGTGAAGAACTGTGGAGACATTTTTCAATATTTTGAGTTAATACTTTGCCAGATCCTTAGACGTTCAAATTAGGAGTACAGTGAAAAACACAATTGTATGTGTTACCTGGAGTCCTGGTGTTGCGCTGTAGGCTACGCACTGGACTGCTAACTGCAAGGTCAGCAATTCAAATCCACCAGCGGCTCCTCAAAAATCCTACACGGGTCACTGTGAATCAGAGACAACTAGACAGCACTCATCAGGAACCTAAGTCACCTGCGTCTTTTAGGAGTCAACATAC